GCCATGGGCATATATAGAATATGCTGCTCAGCTACTTGAAGTTTGTGAAATAACAGCCTATAACCAGGACATGTACTTTCGAAATAACTCACTGGGAACGGATAATCCCCGTGGATCGCAGGTAATTCTGTAAACCTCTGTCACAAAAGAAGGAATGTATTCCGAGGACCCTACCCTCGCTCTCCACTATGTAGTCAGGGCGCTAACACCTGGTGTTCACCTCCACAGGAGAAATAGTTCAGGTGATTGTAATTCCACACCAGAACCTTACTTCCGTTATCAAGACATTATATTACAAGGCTAAAACCAGTCACTGAAACACTACAGAATTGTTTGTGACAACCCATGTCTGATGTCAGCAAAATATACTCAGAACTTTGGTGTGTGGAGAACGTGTTGTAAAAGTGTGTTCCCAGAAATCTTTCTGTGTGAATATTTATGGCAATATAATTCTGTCAGAGAGAAACCATAAGATCCACAGGGTTTTCACGCCAAGAAAACGTTTCAAATTATTACGTGATTTTGTGAATGCTTTTGCGAAATGCTTCAAATATTTATGTGAAGGAAGACATATTGGATCGTTATTCGATTTAAATAGATAGTGTTACAGTATTACTTCTGGGTAAGTTTGGTTTAAAGTGGGTAAGTTTGGTTTAAAGTGGATAGGTTTGGCTTAGAGTAGGTAAATTTGGTTAAAGGTAGGCCAGTTTGGTTAAAAGTAGGAAACTTGGGTTTGATGTGGATAGGTTTGGTTTAACGCCGCTTGACACATTATTTCAGATATATTCATCAGTTTGACCACACTGGCAACACCACCACGGATCCTGTATGGCGCCGTCAAAACAAGAAATGTAATAGGAACGTGTACGGAATTCGAACTCTCCTCAGACAATTGCAGCGCCTTCGACAACTGGGCCACCCATGCTTCCCATATACCCGCTTCGAACCGTGTTATAGCGTCAAGGAGCAGGGATGTCTTCCTCGTTGTGGCCGCCCCGTGAAAGAATCACCGAGTCGACAAACACGTATGTGACAAAACCTGTAGGTTTTTGGTGAGCTGATGGAATTCGTACATAATACGTACGTGTACGACGAACCTGAAGCTTGTCCGCGATAGAGATAACAGCATCAGCAACTATCGAATTGTATGCTTGGCGTGAGCAAGAATTAAAGAGTGAGCAACGAGTCGAATTTTCGTGTTGCTCCAATTGGGAAGGTCTTCGTTGAGGTAATCGAGCGCTGAGAATGAGGTCCAGAACAAATGCTTTCTTTATTGTTTCAAGACACGTTGCCGAAATTATTGCAGCATCCAAATAGTGTATGAAAAGCCCAAATTGCTACAATAAACATGAATTGGCCATAACAGAACGTTTGTAGATCATTGCCTTCCTCGCGACGAACGTGACCAACGAACATTTCTTGAGAGTAATATACCACTTTATATTTATGGTTATTAGTATAATCTGAATAATGTTTAAACATGATGGACATCTTCCAATCGCTAACAGCCTCATCAGCATGTTGATGTTATATGAAACCACAGGGATGCTGGACTTGATTACATTTTCATCGACTCTGTCCTATTTTATAGTCCCCAAGAACGTTCATGCGTCTGCCATTTTGGTGACCCTTTGTGCTAATATGTGCAGATTGATGCTAGATAAACGGCAGGGACCCCTTGTATTCACAAAGTGGTTAACTATTTAAGTCTTATTAATCCTGCGCCAATTTATTTTACGAATGATCGGAAGAGGGCGAGAAAATAAGCTTAATTTTGGTCTTGTCCACAAGCACACGTCTAAGACTGCATCCTTGTCTGTGTAAGATATACAATCAGATAACGTGAAATTTTATAAATTAATTATCTGTTATGCTGTCAGCGCTCGCAACGTGATCCATCCCGTTCGAAGGAGCCGGGTTATCACGAGATCTCAACGAGATTTAGCGACTATGGCGCCGCTGTCTCATCGAGGTCTCGCACTATCTCGCATCCCATCATGCCCTGAAATGGTTTTCCTATCAAGCCAGCATTAATGGCGAACAGAGGCGATACTGCGGAGGCGAGACAATGGCAGTGGTAGCAGATGAAATGGGGGGCTGATTTTACGGCAAAAATACCCTTTCCCGATTAACCCTAGTCCATTACAGGAAATTGATGTCATGAAAGCGCAAGTGCCAATGCAAGCCAAGAAACAAAAGTCGTTTTATGGAAGACTGGAGAAGAGAAATATATTGTGAGCGCGTGAAAACGGTTATCGGGATGTTTTGGCACCGTTGGCGACCTTCCACGAGACGCACATGCGAACAATCTCGGACACTGACAGATGAGGTCTCAAACAATATTCGTTATCTCATGGGCGAAATCAATGTTATAAATTTGATGAGAGATTGAACGTTTTCAGTTTCGGGGACTCCCTGTCGAGAGATTCTGACTTCTGGCGGGATTCCAGTGTACATCACGTCCTATCGCTGGCCACGATAAGCCGGTGACAGGATCACGACTAAATTAGAAATAGCCCAACATACAAACAGTCGTACATTGAGAAAAACTAATGATAAGGCATTCTTCTACTTCAGCGTTACAATGAATACATTCCCTCACACTCGATATGAGACGAGCGCGTGTCAGAATACTGACGAGCTTTCGGTAATATGATGAAATAAAGCAACATTGATGTACAAAGCTTGAGTAACGGCTTGTTTACAGTGTTTGTTGATGATAATATCTAAAAATTTGATACGTAAAGAAAAGATGATTTCAGTAAAAATGCCATCGCCTTCGTATTTTGGCGCCTGTCACTTATAGTGATACAATCGCGATTTTTTATGTAAAAAATGCAATAATAAGGGAACCATCTCAATTGAAGATCAGTAAGAATGTCAGACATACAAAGTGAGAGTTTCCGTAATGACATATTGGTTCCAGAACCAACATGTGCCAGACAGCTCAATAGGTGAATGAACCCCTTTATTAAACACAACATCGGACGTTAAGGAAGAAAATGTTTTTCTACTGGAAAATTAATTCAATAATCAGTTTTGTCATCACTTATTTTCTAGCTTGTTTTAGCTACATGCTACTGATCAACATCCTTTGAAAGTAATGTGTTTGTTCTCATGGCAATGTAGACGTCAAGAAATATATATATAAAATATTTGAATTTTGAAACATTCAAGGTGCTTTTGGCCACAACTTAAGGTGGATAACCGAATTGTTATGGAAGACAGATTTATACTTTGATTTGGTTTGGTCTAGCTTGTTTTAGCTACATGCTACTGATCAACATTCTTTGAAAGTAATGTGTTTGTTCTCATGGCAATGTAGACGTCAAGAAATATATATATAAAATATTTGAATTTTGAAACATTCAAGGTGCTTTTGGCCACAACTTAAGGTGGATAACCGAATTGTTATGGAAGACAGATTTATACTTTGATTTGGTTTGGTTTGTTGTTTAACGCCGCACTCAGTAATATTACAGCTATATGGCGACGGTCTGTAAATAATCGAGTCTGGACCAGACAATTCAGTGATCAACTGCATGAACATCGATCTACGCAATTGGGATACGATGACATGTGTCAACCAAGTCAGCGAGCCTGACCACCCGATCCCGTTAGTCGCCTCTTACGACAAGCATGGGTTACTGAAGATCAATATTCTAACCCGGATCTTCACGGGTTATGCTATGATACTCCAATGAATTCAACCCTGGTTTTTGTGAGTTCCGGCGACGACAACCTGTATTATACTGTGAAGTTACAAGGATATGAACTTTCACCCAAACAATTGATGCCATTACTGATTTACATTGACCCATCCATATACACGTCATCGCTTCTTTTCTCTTTACGCCAAATGGAATCCCTTCGTAGGGAAATAGAGACTGGTTAATATCTAGCTGTATCGCTTTATATTAAAACCTTTTCATATTAAAAAAAATATGAATCTGATTCCGTTTCAACGGAGTATGACTGCTCAGAAACGCAACATAATGTAGATTATATATCGACTGGCATGCTTAACGCTATGTGCCATCTCTTATTGTTTATCATGTATGTGTGTACATTCACAGATGAAGTCGAGTGTAGCCTATTATCTGAAACAAGCGTATGTTATATTATCATTGTAAGTACACAACTGTGTGGGTTGTCAGTTTGAGTCCTAAACGGTACGTGTTAACTTCCTTGGGTTCATTAAGATAAACAATTGCAGTGAACAGACTCGGCAAATTAATGCTAAGTGACAAGGGGAGTTGTTGTTTTAAATGCTTTATTTATAACAGGGGAAGTGCCGCCTTTGCAAATGTTCGTAATCGTGTCATGAATATGTCAAAAATCCTCCTTCATCGGAAAGTGAATCTAATGGTATTCTCGCTGAATGCAGCCACAGGTTTATTGGTTCCGCGAAGACATCGTGATATACAAGTTAAAGGTTCTCTGCAGTAAACGTTGCTGGTATTGTCAATTTACTTAGCCGCCATACTGCATCCTCTCTTGAAAGCAATATAAATGTCAATTCTAGGCCTGTCATGCGTTGTAAGTAATCATTAAACATAGCAATGTAAACAGGAGCCACACACAGGGATTGGCTTACTAAACACACTAGGCTCAAGATGAGGAGATAGGGACACTCGTCAACATACCAGCATGCAGCGGTTTAACACTACAATGTATACTCAGGTTTGGACCAGATGCAGTTTTAATGTCAAGACTAATTGTCTGAGTTTAATGCTCACTCGAGCTACCTAAGTCCTTCAGCTTCCCTCTCAACATTACCTGCTCTCTAGGCCACACAGCTTCTGTAAAGGGCCAACTTTAAATCTCGGTATGTGGCCAGATGCACCCGTGCCCAATAACCGGAGAATAAACGGACTCTCGCCTTCACACCACGCACGTGCAATAAAAGACTGAAGGGAATAAAATCCAGAATTTTGCACCAGTTGCCATGAGAATGGGGTCAGACCAAGGGTGCATTGACTCGAAGGTTTTAATGTGGATTAATTGCTTGATGAACTCATGTGGTAAACCTGGCAACGTGGAAGGGCAACACCTCTGTAGGTGGTGAATGCCCAATTTGTGGTGGCATGGCGGTAGAAGAGACGATCGTCCGGTGATATATTGGCAGGGTGGGTTGGCGGTAGAAGAGATGTGATCGTCCTTGGTGATGTAAAGAGATATTGGCAGGGTGGGTTGGTGGCGGTAGAAGAGATGTGATCGTCCTTGGTGATATATTGGCAGGGTGGGTTGGTGGCGGTAGAAGAGATGTGATCGTCCTTGGTGATGTATTGGCAGGGTGGGTTGGTGGCGGTAGAAGAGATGTGATCGTCCTTGGTGATATATTGGCAGGGTGGGTTGGTGGCGGTAGAAGAGATGTGATCGTCCTTGGTGATATATTGGCAGGGTGGGTTGGTGGCGGTAGAAGAGATGTGATCGTCCTTGGTGATATATTGACAGGGTGGGTTGTTGGGTAGAAGAGATGTGATCGTCCTTGGTGATGTATTGGCAGGGTGGGTTGGTGGCGGTAGAAGAGATGTGATCGTCCTTGGTGATATATTGGCAGGGTGGGTTGGTGGCGGTAGAAGAGATGTGATCGTCCTTGGTGATGTATTGGCAGAGTGGGTTGGTGGCGGTAGAAGAGATGTGATCGTCCTTGGTGATATATTGGTTGGTGATATATTGGCAGGGCAGGTTGGCAGATGGTGGGTTGTTGGCGGTAGAAGAGATGTGATCGTCCTTGGTGATATATTGGCAGGGTGGGTTGTTGGCGGTAGAAGAGATGTGATCGTCCTTTGGTGATATATTGGCAGGGTGGGTTGGTGGCGGTAGAAGAGATCGTGGTGATCGTCCTTGGTGATATGTATTGGCAGGGTGGGTTGTTTGGAGGCGGTAGAAGAGATGATCGTCCTTGGTGATCGTCCTTGGTGATATATTGGCAGGGTGGGTTGGAGGCGGTAGAAGAGATGTGATCGTCCTTGGTGATATATTGGCAGAGTTGGTTGGTGGCGGTAGAAGAGATGTGATCGTCCTTGGTGATGTATTGGCAGAGTGGGTTGGTGGCGGTAGAAGAGATGTGATCGTCCTTGGTGATATATTGGCAGGGTGGGTTGGAGGCGGTAGAAGAGATGTGATCGTCGTTGGTGATATATTGGCGGTGGAGGCGGTAGAAGAGATGTGATCGTCCTTGGTGATCTATTGGCAGGGTAGGTTGAGGGAAGCAGAAAACATGGGATCATCCTTGGTGGTATTGACAAGGCGGTTGGAGGTGGAAGGGATATGAAATTTGTGAAGGTGGTTTTATCAGGGGACTGAAGATCCTGAACGATTGATTGGGTGTAGAAGAGATGTGGACGTCCCAGAACGTGCAGTTGTAGCTTATCATGCTAGCATGAGTCGGGTTGTTGGGGAGTGGAGAAGGGGGTGGAAAACAGATAACGAATACGGATCCTATAGCTGTGATTCAGACAGTCCCTGGCAAGGCGACGCCGAATCCACCAAAATCGTTCTGAATTGACTCTAGCATGTGCAGCCTCCACTTTCCATTCCAGGACGTTGAAGATATTCAGTGACATAAAGATGTGATGAAACGGTGGGTCCGTCCTTTGAACTAAACTGTCTTCACTCCTACCCCTATTCCTATACCGTGTGATGGGCGCACAATACACGGCTTACATTCAATACCTACTGATTAAAGACTGGTTGTCGGTTCCCGTTTACTTGTTTGTTTGGGGTTGTTTTTTGTGTTCTCGCATAATTCAATTTTTCTGTTCATCAAAGGTGTAAAAATTGATGCAAGTTACCTGTATGCTGTATTGCCCTCTCGTCTCTCTACGGATCACATGATCTCTGGTTCGAACCCAAGATTTTCTCTTCTTCTTATCCTGTCAGTACCACGTCGTTCACGGTCTAAGTCATCTTGGTCGTTCCTGACACCTGAGGTTGATATTGTGTCTTTACCGAAAAGTTGTTGAAAAGCAGCTTTAAACCTACCTCACTCACTCACTCACTCACTCATTCTGAGATACGATGTACGATACTGTTCAGAACGTCGTTAATTCCAACTGTTAATTTACTGTTATAAAATAACGGACAAATATAACCGTCGACAGACCAGGTTGGCCTGAAAATAACCTGCAAGGTTGCCTAAACTTCATCTGAATTGTGATTAATGTGATAGCCACTAGTTAGGGTGAAAAACGGACTCGGTAATACTCTGACACACATTTTTTATCTCGCGGTTCCCATATCGTCAACTTCACGCTTGCTGGCATCGCTGTAAGAAGCGGCGCCAGCATCCCGAGGGGTCGGGCCATGGTTCTGCGTCAGTGCTGCGGGGCACCAGGGGGCCTAATTCGTGGGGCGTGTTGACAGTCCGTAGGGTGGGTATTGGGGTCTTATCCCGCGGCCTTTTCACCTGCGTGTACCAAGCTACCTTGACAGGACCCCGGGGGTGGAAGATGGTTGGATGTTCGTAAATTTGCTGAAAAGGTGTAGAATATATTCATGGCTTCTCTGGAACCTGTTGGCAGCGACGTCTTGGTGGTCTGGAAACTAAAAGATACGTTTATCACTTGTCATTTGATACCTGCCACTTGTACACTAAAACATTCTTTATTACGATTTGTATGCCATGCGGAATCGTTTTTGCTCTTTCTAACATCTGAGCCGATAAACTGCATGTATTTTATACTGTCGTGAAATTATGAAAAGATAGACACTATTATCTTTAAACGCCATCATCGCTTTTAAGAGGACATTTATTACGAACGCTTGATTTGAGTGTTTGATAGGGGTTAGATAGGATGTTTTATTCCTATTGTTTTAAATTAAATTTTTTTAAATGTTATTTTTCAGCACAAAATGTAGATCGACTGGAAAGACTGACCCACTGACTGAGTTTAGTTTACGCTTTTAGAAATTCCAGCAGTATCACGGCGGGGACACCATTATGATAAAATAGTTCCATGTAATCACCCGGGCGTGACGAGCCAGTGTTTTCACTAGCCTTGCTCCAAGGCTAGAAATCAGTACATGTATATTATGATAAATAGAATCACAACTAGGTTTTCATGGATGTAGGCTGTACTGAATTCCATCCTTTAATGAGGCAAGTTTAGACTAGTGGACGCCAGTCTTTGTTATTTATTTTTATTAGTAATTATCATTGAGACTATTAATTACCTTAGAGACTTGTGCAACTCAATGTTTTCACATATTATCACTTTTCGTTTAGATTAGTACCAGTATAACGAAAGTACGTAGAGTATATACCCGTGAAGACCCGGGTTAGAATTGGTATCAGTAACCCATGCTTGTCGTAAGAGGCGACTAACGGGATCGGGTGGTCAGGCTCGCTGACTTGGTTGACACATGTCATCGGTTCCCAATTCTGTGAACCTATATACACATTTTGTAGCTTGAGGGATGTTCTTCTTCTGTTGTAAGAATACGTTTATATGTACAGTGTCTATTTAAACACAGTAAACGTATTTGGTAATGAAATCAGACCCTGTTGTGACGAATTTTAATGTGTTGAACTACTGTTATTTCGAAGTGAAAGCTTGGCCCGACGTATTTCTTGTTTAGCCGTCATTTGGCGGCGGATGTGTCGAACCGAATCTCGGACAACTCGAAATATTTACGTTTGTCACTTCAACTTCGACACCGGTTTGAATGGTTACTTTCCAACATCTGTTGGTCGATGCGTGAAGGTTAGACAGTAGTTAATGGAATCGCTTGATATTCGAGTTCAAGTTTATGTATGAGTGGAGCTTGTGAAGTGCGGCGGAAGCAGTGATACGGAATCAATCATGACACTTAGACTGAGTCAACCATTTAATTCGGTCAAAGTGGTTGGACATCAGCATTTTTGTTAATGATTTTAGGAACTCGCCTATCTTTTCCAAACTAAACAGGGGTTCATTTCTTTCTTGTCTGTGTGTTGTTTAACGCCACACTCAGCAATATTACAGCTATTATATGACGGTGGTCCTACCAGACATTCCAGTGATTGACATCATGAGCATCTGCGCAAGTGGGATACTATGACATACATCATTTTTGAAAACTGAATAGAAGTAACAAACTGTATGCTTTGGACACTTGGTTCGAGAAAGTGTCACGTGATTTCTATTCCTACATTACAAGGCATGTTTCTTGTCAGTAAGGCATCGGACTCTATAATTTTATTTAAGAAAAATACTCCCATTCTCTTGAAAGGCACACAGTTTTCCCTTTACGACAAGCCAGGAATCCCCGCTATCCCGAGCCTATTCTTCATATGTTCGATAATTAAAATATTGACTATTTTTACCATATCGACCTAGAATGTGGAGGTCTTAAACAAAGGTGGTTCCCATGTATACTAACACACTGGTAAACATTGCTGTCATCTTTTGTCGATATTTATGCTTTATATAGATAGGTTGTCATTATAGAGTGTTGAAATATTAACATTTCACGAGATCGTTCTTTACAGATTGAACCTTACATTGTAGTTAACATTTTAGTTATGAATAAAGTAATTGTCCGTCAAATTACAATAAACATTTGATAAAACAACCCCAAATATTGGCATCATTATGATTATTTCATTAAATCTATTCAGTAGTTTCAGTATATCAAATGTTCTGGAGTAGAATGAGAATAAGAATTTCAGGACCTCCGAAGCTAGTACATCATAATCACAAATCTTTCAAAACTGAACTAAAGTTGATGAGCCAGTCAGAATGTTATTCAATAAATACTGTTGTGATAATTCCCACTATTCCGCACACATGCCAGAACGTCAGTATATTCCCACAACGCTGGACAATAAAGACAACACACGAGAATTGTTTATCCACATGTCTTTCAATCACTTCCTTCAGCATCCCAATAGTTCTGCTTCTTGTGCAAATGTGACATATAAAATGTCACCCTGTCACATCTGTACAACCCGAAACCTCCACAAACAGAAATGATGTCATTAAAGAGACCAATGTAAGTACAGCCCTAATATGCATTTCACGCCGAGGGTCATATCGCAAGGAGTTTATCGTTCATTCCAGGCCATGTAGCCAGCGAAGGAACAACGCGTTATGTCTTTCCAAGCGTTAAACTCCTTCCTTGTCATTTATTACCAATAAACGTCTTGTAAGATGTCGCCCAGAATACAACTAATGTTTACTTATCTGACAAACCATTTGCTTCAAATTATAAGGCTGTAACCCGTCGGATGGCCGTCGTCAATAAATGGCGTTATTATCAGAATATGTTCATAGCTGATAGCTCGAGCTGGCTTTCAGTGGAGGGCACAGACCCTAGGCTAATTATATATAATAGATTGCGCTTCAGATACATGGTGTCTCTTCTTTGTTGCTGATTGTTTAATTATATTGCGCTAGGTGAGGATATTTCAATTATCTACAGATTGACGGACAATAAAATGTGATTTATGTTTAGCATCCTGTCGCACTGGCGGCGGCGTATCACTGTGGACAAAATTAACGACAAACGATTTCCTCGTTGTTGCAAAAAAAAATGTTAATGACAAGAAAAAGTAATCTAATGCTTGATAGAATTTATCTTTATTTAACGATTTGAAATGTCGCTGTGTTCCTTTCTACTTCATAAACCATTATTTTAGATAATGTCAAGATTTCGAGTTTCTGACATATTCGATTGGCTTTCTTGCATTTCTTGCTTCCGACGCGCAGCAATAAGAATTTTGTTATATCGTCTATTAGGGTAATATAAATGATTGTAGGATGACATTTAAAATGTGTCATTTTGTGATTTTATTGCATTGTTATTAGAACAGTGACAGTAATATATTTCGGTCGTGGCAAGTAGAATGATACAGAACATCGTTATAGTAGGTTGCTTTACAAAAAGATGAGGTCAGTGTTTTGAGTTAAATGACATACAGTCCCCGAAGTAAAGTTATATATGAGGTTAAATAGAGTGATTCTATGAATTGACAGTTGAGTCATCAGTCCAGGCCCGGGCGGGTATACGAGTGGGGAGCTGGAAATTAGAAAGGGAGCATCTAAAATGGAATGCTGGACCTAAAAAGGAGATGAGTGTGTGTTGGTACAGCTGAGAAGGGGATGGGAGGATGGAATACTACCAACCAGAAGGGGTGGGGGTGGCATTATAGAAAGAAGGATGAGGATTGAGGGGGAAATGAAGGATGAGGATTGGAGGAAAGAAAGAACGATGTGATAGAAAGAAGGATGAGGATGGGAGGGAAGAA